GTGGGGGGGTGGGGGGGTTGGGGGGTTGGGGGTAGGGTGGAGGGAAGGGATAGTTAGGGACTTTGGGATTGACATGTACACCTTGCTGTATTTAAAAAGGATAACCAACAAGGACCTACTGCATAGCACAGGGAACTCTGCTCAATGTTACGTGGCAGCCTGGATGGGAGGGGAGTCTGGGGAAGAATGGATACATGTATATGTATGGCTGAGTCACTTTGCTGTGCACCTGAAACTATCACAGCATTGTTAATCAGCTATACTCCAATCTAAAAAATAAATAAATAAAAAATAAGTAGAAAAAAATTACGTTATATTGATCAAAGTTTCTTTCCATAAACTACATCTTTAAAATAATTCTTCTAAATAATGGGACTTCTTTTTTAATAAATTGGAGTAGTGGTTACCACTAGGGAGGAGCAGTGGCTGAAAGGGCACACAATGAAGACTTCTGGAGTGCTGGTAATTTTTAATTTCTTAATCTGGATTCTGGTTACATGGATTTGTTCAGTTTGTGAAAATTCATTGAGCTACACGTTTATGATTTGCACACTTTTCCATATGTGTGTTATACTCCATTTTTTAAAAAATTTAAGACAAAACAAAAAATCTCCCACCTAAAAACTCCACACTAGGTATAGAGGGTATAAAATAAGTTTACCACATCTTCAGGGAAGAAATAAATCCTATGTTATATAAATGTTTACAGATAATAGAAAATGAGGAAAAGCTACCAAGCTTACCCTATGATCTAGAAGGTAGGTATAATACTAGAAAGAAAAATCCCACGGTAGTCCTTAACAAAATATTAAAGAAAGAAACCTAGGAATATATTATTTTTATATAACCAAATAAACTTTGGGGATATAAGAATGGTTTAACACTAGAAAATCCATTAACATTTTACTACATTAATAAAATAAAAGAGAAAATCCATATGATTTACCTCAGTAGACACAGAAAAAACATTTGTAAAATTCTATACTGATTCACTACTTTAAAAATTGTCCACCATTCAGCAACAAAAAGAAACTTTCTAACATGAAAAATGATACATTAGAAGAAGTCTCTTTAAATCTGGAACAAAACAAGGTCCCACTATCACCATTTCCATTCAAGAATAAAGAAGTATGAGATTTGAAAAGGAAAGAATTGCCATTGCATAGGATATGATTCTCCCCCTGGAAAATCCAAGAAAATCTACAAGTCATTTTAATAAGCAAGTAAAGCAAGTTTGCTAGACTCAAAATCTATATATAATATCAATTTTATGAGGCAATTACCAATTTGACTGTCCATAACTCCCATTTTTAAAATACTCTTAAAAACTTTTATTAGAATAAATCTAATAAAAGATGTGTAAGCTCTTTGGGGATAAAACTCTATAATATTACTGAAGAAGGCCTAAATAAACAGAGAAAAAAACATTTTCATGAGTGAGAAAATTCACTGTTATAAATATGTAAATTCTTCCCACTTAAGTTAGGAACTCAACATAATCCTAGTATAAACACAAGAGGATTTTTGGTGAAAACATCACAGAGAAGGAGAGGGACAGACTTCCAAACTGGTATCAGAGATGGAGGCAAAGCACTTGCGGAAATCAAGATTTCAAGGGTGATATCTGATTTTTGTTTTTCCTATTTCTGATCTTTTCATTTTCAGGGACAGCTCTTCTCCATGAGCCTTTTTGGTTTTTTGGGGTTTTTTTGGCTGCTCTGCACAGCATGTGGGATCTTAGTTTCCCAACCAGGGATCAAACCCATGCCCCCTGCAGTGGAAGTGAGGAGTCTTAACCACTGGACAGCCAGGAAGTCCCAAGCCTTATTTTTTCAAAAACATTCCAGAGCTTCAAAAACCAAACCAAACTATATTAGAATAAATACCTAAAGGTCAGATAAAAGTTACCCACTGGAGAAGTGAAGCAAACTCAATCCAGGAAGCCATCTGATTCTTAATAGACAGTATAAAAAATAATAATTTACAACAAACAAACAAAAACCTCATTAGGACAAATCTTAACCTCAGTGAAATAAAGTTTAAAATTCTCTTTAAACTTAAGTTTATGTTTATAATCCCTCACCAAGAGAAATGTAAGTTATTTATATAGTTTTCTAAGCCCTTTAGTATTCTTACCAAACGTGAACACAGAAAGACATACCAGAGTCTTAGAAAGATCTTTTTAGTACTTTCATATTACCAATCACTTAGAAAACCTAGACAATCAATGTTTGCAGGATGAGAAAGAAGAAAAATGGAAGTAACCCGAGAAAACAGATAACAGAGAAAAACAATTTTGGAAACTTGGGGACATGCTCTGGAGTTTAATATTAATGAAATGATCAGCTTAGAATATCAACTTAAAGTAGTTTTGAAAAGTGGTTAGGAAAAAATCAGCCCACAGGAATTTTCCACAGGCCTGCCCAAATTTATTAGTCATGGCAGTAAATAGGAATGGAGTAAGGAAGTATACTTGTACTACGGGTTAGATTTTCTATTTGTCCTTTTTGATTCATTTTTACTTTCCTACTACTAGGAATTTTTTTTTTTTTTTAAGATCCAAACTGCTTTTCTTAAGGCTCTGGACTACCCTAACTTTCATAAGTATATTTGCAAGCTTCCCTGCCTTTTACTCCTTTGAGCCCTTGCTCATTTGGTTCCATAAAAGTAGAATGTCCTTAGAACACATCTAACATGTGTTATCAAAATCCTACTTGACCTTCAAGGCACAATTTAAATGTCATCTCCTCCCTCGAGAATTCTACGGTAATAATTTCTGTTCCTGCATCCTATGTTTATTCTAAGAAGAAAGAAACTACCACTTCATGAGCCTCTACTACATGCTCTATAAAAGAATTTCATTTTAATCTTCTTAACAGTCCTACAAAGTACTATTCTCTCCATTCTGCAGAATGGGAAACTAAGGCTATGAGAGGTTACACAGCACAATAATGTCATGGATATGAGATTCAAATGAAGCCTGTCTGATTTCAAAGTCCATGGTCTTTATATAATTTCATGCTGCCTCTATTATAGCCTTCACCATAGACTGAGTTATGATGAGTTGTTTGTATGTCAGTCCACCCTCATAAGTTATGAGATCTTTGAAGGCAAAGGCCCTATCCTATTTAGGTTTGAATACTCCTTTCCTGGCACAGTGTCTATTATGTAGTACATACAGCACTCTAGTAGTGCTAGAAATAATATGAAGAAATTAATACAATGTTCATTTTTCTCATAATTAGCTCTCGTATGACATCATGACCATAAAAAATAAGTATCTGGCTTCCAGCCATAGCAGTAACTGGGACCAGAGTTGTCCTCCTATTATAAGCAATGAGAAACCTGGATAAAATATACAAAAGAATTACTGTTACACCTTGGACAAAAGTCAGTATAGGACTGGATCCCTAAGCTAAGGGAAATGACCAAGGTAAGCTCCCAAATTACCCAGGATGTCTGTCTGGAAGCGTTTTCTGGAATGCAGCACAGTGAGTGGTAACCCAAACAGAGTATAGACGTCTTGCTGAGTTGGGGTGAACAGAGTTCAGAATTTAAAGAGGAGGAAGGGGACGGAATCTGCAGAACAGAGTACTAAAGAGGAGGTAGCTATGCAGAGAAAAGCTTGAGAACTCTGTATAGGGGTCTTATTGAGACCCTGGGTGAAAACTACTTGACCCGACTTGCACATGCACAGAATAAATGCCACAAAGACAAGCAAAGTTCAATGAGTGGTAATTTAAATGACATCCAGAATTCATACAAGGCTGTGAAATATTTTGACCAGCTAAAGTACAGGTCTTGATGAATACCTAGAGCATTGCACAGAGACTCCAGAAGGGTCCCTGGCTCTAGGGTAGTACTCCTTAAAAGTTAGAATGCATCAGAAAACTAGGAGGGTTAGTTACAACACAGACTGCTAAGCATCACCCCCACAGTTTTTGATTTAGTGATTCTGGAG